CATGGGTCAGGATTCTTCCCGAGTAGCAATTTTAATTCCTTATAACTGACCTTTATTTTATAATGTATTTAGATCTTAAGAGGGGTTTGCTTTAAAGAAAACTTTAGTTAATGTTTTTCTGATTACACTTCGCAGCCATATTTTCTCTCCTTTCAGTAGCATACTACCATTTTTATGAAAAAGGAAACCCAGACCTGACTCAAACCCCAAAATGTAAGGAGTTGCCTAGGAACAACAAAATGGTTGGCCACATGCCAAAGCGGTACTACCTGGTGGCAGGAGCTCTGTCATGGGGCTTTTAAAATGCCTGAGAAAAAAGCTTCCTTGGCCCAGGCCCCCAGTGGACCAAATGCCCATGGTTTCCCAGGCAGTATAATTTTACTGTTATAACCTGTGACAACATTACTGTTACAATAACAATGAATTTCATTAATATCAGACGGAACTGGACTAGGTAGCAGCCTTTGGTTGGGTTGGTATCACCAGTGTCACTCAGACAAGAGCCTTGTCGTTGCAGGCACCACGCAAGCACAGCAAGAGACATCTCCTGCTCCCTACGAGCATGTGTCCCTGGGATGCTGCACGGCAAAACTGCGAGCATTCTCAAACGGGACCCGAGCAATTTCTTTCACTACATTTGATTGCTCCATTGGTTGCCTCATTTTGCCTCAATTTTGCCTCTCAAAGATAACAGCACATTCAAAATACTTGAATGAAAGGTGTAAGACTTGCACGCCTGGATCACTCAAACTTAGCTGGGAGACCTTGGAATGAACTAGAAAACTCCAGCATGGAAATGTAACGGGGCTAAGGGTAGAAGAGCTCTGTTTGCAGAGGATAGCAGCAGACAAAAATAATGAATCATTAAATTACATTTCTTGTCCCCACTTACCTCCTTGCAGAGGGACACTGTTCCTGGACTCAAGAAAGCATGCATCATTCCCGTGCCTGAGAACTGCATGTGCTTGCTAGGTGGCACTGCAGTTTTTAGATCATTATGTTACTACCCCAGAGAGCTGCAAATAATCTGTGCACGAGAGCTGCTCATTAACTGGTAGCCCATGAAGTTTCAAAGAGTGTCTGTATCATGAAAGTCCTCCTCCCTTGATCTTTCTCCAATTCTTGCTTCTGAATTCTTAAAAATACTTAGGAGGAGATTTTAAGCGGTGCAGTCCATGAAACTACTTCTGGTATTATTTGACTTACACAACCGGTTGCCCTACAGTGTATTCAGGAGCTGGAGAATTAATCAGCAGAGACAGCAGGTGTTATGAGCCCCTATTCTTTCCCTGGCACCTGCAGGGTCCATCTAAAGCCCTACAGGAGTATTTCATACCAAGATCCAGTGAATGATAGCATCTAACAGATGCTTCATTCTCTGACAACCTTAGCTGAAGCAGACCAGAAGCATCTGATTTTTGTATTTGAACAACAGATCAGAAAGTAGGAAGCTCAGAGAATCCTGCCCAGCTCATATGTCCGGTAGTTCTCAATGAAGAACAAAGTGGATCTTCTGAACACGTTTTGCAGGACACGTATTAGCACTCACCTGAGTGTTATTCTGTAAGAAACGCAGAAAATAATCAAAAAGTGAAATTGTGACCCACATTTGGCCCACAACACCACATTATCAAAATTCAGCATGAATGATGAGTCTTCAGTGCAATGAAGACTAATACTTAAGGGGACAATCTTGCTCTAAAACAGCCATAGGGCACAGGGGTTTGCAGGGCAAAGGTCCCATATATGCTGCTAGCACTTTGTTAACTCCAATTTCCCTGTCCAACTCAAAGATGCTATATGCTCGATGACAGTCAATCTGATTTTGGCTTTTAAAATCAGGCTGAGGAATGCAACTGCATTTAAGGACTGAAATCCTGTCCTTCAGAGCAAAGCAGAGATGTCTGGTAAAATCCAAGATGTGGTAAGAAATAATTAGGTGGCAGTAGGACAATCAGATCAGCTCTGTGGCTGACTTAAAGTCTGGAAAATGGGAGAAAGGTTAGGATCTGTGGTCTGACTGACTTCCAAAATAAACTACCTCAGCAGCTCATATTACATGAAATGTACCTACAATATTAGGTTTCATACAGTTCCCTTATACCAAAAATACTGTTTTCAGGAGTGATTATACACTTGGGAATACATACCGGGGAAAATAAGACCATTATTGTGTAAAAAACCAACCCCCCAACCTTTATTTTTCACAATACATTTCAAGTACATGCAGAACGTGTTTACATTTCTCTTTAAGGCAAACAGAAACTGGGTTCTTATTCCTGAGTTGCTTAGCACCAGTAGAAATAGCAAATAAAAACTTGGGAAATGTTGTCTCTCCCTTTGAAGCAGCAGCTGCCTCCCATGCAAAATATTTCTGCTTTCACCTTGCATTTCTTTTAATGAGCTATTTATACTACTAACCTCTATTGCCGTTTGGAGCCATTGCTGCAGATTGCAATCTCTTAGCAGAAACATTATGCCAAGATGTGACAAACTTTCTGTTTGTTATTTTACCTTACAGTTTGCTGACTAGACAGCACAGCAGTACTTCTGTCTTTGCTGGTACGTTTGGTTGATGGTTCGACTCAATGATCTTAAAGGTCCCTTGCAACCTAGATGATTCTATGATTCTATATATCAAGGTCTTCTCTTCAGTTATTTCAAGAGCTCTGTATTCCCTCAATATCTAGAAAAAAAGAACATTATCTTCCTATGTCTTTCTCATGCAAGCTAGCTGCTTCTCCAGTACTATGTCAAGATGCAGAGAGGGAAACATTCACCTCAGCCAATGGAGGTTTTTAGGGCTTGACTTCACTAAAGCTAAAGCGGGGGGACATGAAAATGCCCATTAAAGTGTTGGTATTTACAAAGAAAATGCAAACCAGTTTTTCAAAGAAAAAACCTGCTCCCTTGAAGTCTAACATCTGAACCATTTGCATTCTCTCAAGACTTTAGACATTTGCTAGAATTTAGGATGTTGCATTTCCATTTAAAATACAGTGGGAACATTTTCACAGAAGTTTGTGGCGTTCTTCCATTGCCCTCGACTGGCTCTATCAAACCCACCAATTCCAATAGGCACTTTTCTCACGTGACTTTTAAGAGAGCCACAGGCCATGATCCTAAAAGAGAAAACATCTATTCAGTAAAAAATAAAGTTCCAGTTTCTATTTAACATAAAAGTGTAGTCCCAAGCAGAAAGTCAATAGTGCAAAATAGGGTATGACTCTTAAGTGTGCCTTCCTCACTGACCTGTAGTATGGAAAAATGTTTTGTTCGAAATTACATTCTCTGCTTTTTTTGCATGCATTCCTGAAACGACAGTTTTTAATGACATACATCAATACACCAATAATTCAAGGTTTCTTTTACCATTTAGTCTCTCTATGTGCCCACCTCAGCTAATCAATGTTTATCACAATTTTTAAAGATATGCTAATATTTACAGGTCCTTAACTTAAACATTCATTGAAAGAAACAGAACACCTGTGCCTTGTTTAAACTTCTGGTTTAAATTGGTTATTAAAGCAAAAAAGCCCAAGTAATTTCTTACTTCTTTTTCAGTTACTACCTGCTAAGATCAAATGTCTTTCTTCACAACTGTTTCACTTAGTAGCAACACACAACAGCATATTACATTGGGAATAATCCACATTCAAATAGTCAATTGTAAAGAGGTTACCTTTAACAAGGACAAGCAACCTCACAAAGAAATTCTTCATCAAAGGTTTCCTAATTTCTTTTTCCTACCTCTGAAAGATTATTATAAACTAAGCACCTAGGAAAAAACAATAAATGAACCCAGACAGTAAGACGAACTCATGAAGTGTCTAATCAATATCCCGTCAGGAAGCTGACTCCCCCTGGTAAGGCACCTCCCAACAGAAGGTGTGAGGATTCCCCCCCGCCCCGCCCCGGTAAGATGAGTTCAAAAGGCTAAAAAAAGGAATGGTTGTTATTCTGTGCCTGGCAACACCTCTGTACACTGTGAACAAAACAGCAGCTTGCTGCAGGTATTCCCAATGAACAGCTGCAGCGTAGCATTTTTACCCTCATTTTATTTTCTATAACGTGACCCGCATGCAGCTTTATTTCTAAAATCGGCATGGCTGATTCTATAACCAGTACATCCTCTGAGAAATGTACTTTTTCAGTGATCATTTCAATGCTAAGATGCTAGAGAGATTACAAAATTTTAGAAAGTCTTAAGAATTTCTCCCTGGAAATCCTTGGTCCCTAGTCTATTACAAAAAGAGACTGCACTGTATTCAGAGGAAAATATTGTACCCCTTGACAGTGATTGTTTATCTAGTGCCTATTCATCTAAGTGCGTTTGTCAAACCTTGTCCTGCTACAGTGGTTATTTAGAAAAAATCTCAACACACTGACACTTCTCAGCTTCTTGGCTCTTGCCCAGATCTGTCAGAACTGGCTGAGCTCAGGTTCTCCTCCGCTCACACAGGACAGGGGACACAGGCATTCGTTCGGGCTGTGTTTCCGCTACCCGCTGCAGTAGCTGAGGGAGCAGGAGCTGATTAGCCTCCCCAGGCGTCTTACCAAGGTGAAATATTCCAGAGGAAGTCACACAAATGCTTCTTGCATTCAAGACAGTTCAATGGCCTTAGAGAGCAGTCCCGGCACATCTCTGACACACTCTGTGTCTCAGCTTGCTCAGGGTGGTAACTTGTACTCTTCTCATCTCTCATTTGAAGAATTAGTCCTACCTGCTTTTTTGAGGATGGCACCAGGTTATCGCAGTCTGAATCCTTTCGTGCAGAAGGAGAAGTTGTAGGCAAGAATAGGTTTCTGGATAGTTTTGAAATGCTACTTCCAAAGGCACCAACTTTCACATGCGGAGTAAAAGACATTGCTCTTTCTTATAGTGAAGATGAAACAGATTACATCCAGTTTATTTATAAAAGTTTTATACACCTGAAATATCACAAACATTTACAACTTTCCTGCTTGCTTTGGAGTTCCGAAAAGACCGAGTTGTACAATTACACCGCTGTCTCCTTTGACTCCAATGTCTGTGGTGGCTTGAAGTTCAGTATCTCTTTATATGTAATGCCTGGAAAACAACAGAATAAACATAGTGTTGCTGGTCTAATCAGAAAAGGAGCTGCACAGACACAAGCAAGGTGCAACCCCCAGCATGGTTAGGCTCTGACCTAGGCCAGGAAGAGAGAGACCTCTTCAGGCAAAAAAGAAGAGAAAGAATACAAAAAGTAAGGGAATCAAGGATCATTTTTTCACTATTTCAGATCTGAAGAAGTAGCCCAATACTGAAATGTTATAGGTGCTTTCAAAGGGATGCGAGCATTGACTTTACAGTATAGGGGGCAATATCCTCAGAAAGAGCTACTGAGCACATCAGCTTTAAAAGTCAAGTCCTCACTTGAAAACGAAAACACAAACTTCTGACGTTAGATGAAAACTAGATTCAGACTTAAATCTCTCCTGAGATAGACATTTTCGCTCCCTCAGAGAACCTCACTTAAAATTGAGGTCAGTAACTGTTGCGGTCCTATAGAACTAATAGTTGAGGAATCTGTTCGCCTGTCCTATCCACTGGAAAGACCATGTTACAGAAATGCTTTCTTTCCTGTGTTGCAGAAGATGGGAGGACGGGGGAGGACGGGGGAGGACGGGGGAGGACGGGGAGTGACTAAAATTTAGCCTCTCCTGGGGAAGGGGGAGGAAGGGGGAGGAAGGGGGAGGGGGGGAGGGGGGCCTCTGTTAGGAGGCACAGAAGAAAGCTTTGGGGATTGTTCCAGGAGGACTTGATAAGAGGAACATTGGCTTATCAATAGGATTTCTCTATCTTAACACTGTCTACTTACACTGTTCCATCAAAAGCAGAGAAAATAATTTGTAAAGGGGAATATTACTATTTCTGGATGGCCTTTCTATCTGGTCATTTTTGAAAACATCACAAAAATAAACTCACGCTTCCACTCATCTAGCGGAAGATCCATGTTATCAAATGTGTCGTCGTATTTCTCAGCTTCAATTTCTTCCTCGGGATCATGAATTGGTTCAAAGTAAGGATGCATCAAAGCCTCAGCTGCTGTGACTCGCTTCTCTGCATCCAGCACCAGCATCTTCTCCAGAAGGTTTACAGCTATTGAACAGAATACAAACAGTGCATTCAAATCACACCACCGATTCCAGCTTGTACGCAGTAATGTTGTCCTGGAGATAATTCAAATAAATACACAGAGTTATAAAGCAGAATCCCTGGGTGTTCATTCTATAGCCACTGCGGCCCATCTGCATGACAAATAGTGTTGTGAGCAAACTGGGATGTGTACAAAGCCTGATGCAACACAGAGATGCTCCCTTGCTTCTGTAATGCAATACAGCCACATCACCTCAGCTAATGACTTCTCTGCTCCAGCACCACTGTGCTTGGGGCTTTCCCAGGTGTCTTTCATCACTGCCACCACCGTGTTGTGGTTCTAAGGTACATCACGACCTGACAGCAGCAGAATGAACAGGTGGTTGAGCAGCTAATGAGAACTGCTCTGTGTGTGATCAAATCCAAGCCCAAGTACACTCTGAAGTTCACTGAGGCAAGTCAGTTGTCCATGCTTAGAATCTCAACGCTGACTTTATCTGCTGTACGTTTTTGACCTCAGCCAAAACAATTCATGAAAATCTTCTGCGTTCCTCTCCAGTGAATTTTGGATCAGGTTCACTGTTGGACTGTAAAAATGGGCTAGTGTAAACAGATATGATGAATGATTTGTTTATTCCCTGTTTTTCTGTCCTGAAAGAACGTTCCTGGGTTGGGTGGAGCAGCTGAAAGGAAGAGGCAGCAGTGTGGGACAGGATGCTGCAACTCCTGCTTGCCACACCGTGGATTCTCTCCAGCCTTCTCTCTCAGACCATGAGCAGTTATTTGTTCTCTGTGTAAGGAGCAGCCATACGGGCACAGAAGTGATAGGAAGAAACGTCCTAAAAACTAAATGGAAATGTGTAGCTGAGGAAGTCAGTGAGCTAACCATGCAGTCAGGGTAAGACCTGCATATTAATCATGTCTATTTCTCCTGTATCTGAACATACAATTTTAACTTCTTAAACTGAGAAGATTCAATTATGTTAATTGATATTCTAATAAAGCTGGCTTTGTGGGTGTTCAAATCACTGGGGAACGGATAAGGTTTGGGCAGAGCCATCTCAGAGCTCTGGCTGTCTCGAGTCATGTCACAGTCATGCACACTTGGTATGTTCTTCTGGCTGTTTACATCTATCAAATCCAAGCCAGTGCTTCTCAGGAATGCACAGATGTTTCTCAGGATGTATTCATTCCATGACTAAAATGTCAGCTTTCTATTTGCTTGCATTTCTACTGTAGATCAGATTGAGCTTTCAGAGTTATATTTCAAATACAATACACAGAAAAAATTATTATATATATTTAATTTCTCAGGGCTCTTGAGAAAGCTGCTCCAGTAAAACCATTAAGCAGATGCTGGATCGGAGCCTAAAACACAAAATACTTCTTTTTTCACTCTTCTAAGAAATATCTGATTCCTGGCAGGGTCTAAACTTGGCAAAGTTCAGCCACTAAAATCAGTGTTATGAACTATGGAAAGCAAGAGATAGAAAAGCACAGGAACTATCACATAACCTATCACATCACTGATACTGCTGTTGCCTCCAATGCAAACACAATAACAAGACAAATTGTACACATCCACACAAACTGTCTTACCCAATGGATTTGCATACTTCAAGATGGATGCAAAATCTTTTTTCTGGACTTTTGGAAGGCTTTTGATATAGTTTTTTGCCTTAAAAGAAACATGAATATTAAATTAGACCTTTACTGCCTTTGTAAGGTGACAACATGCTTAATAGGTAACTCAACAACGCTTTGATAGCACATTGTACAAATGGATTTTTTTAGGGGTCATAAGCCCCAATTATATTTTACCTTCTTGTTGAAAAGAACTCTTTTTTAAAATCAAGCCTTAAAACTGTGATTAAGAAATAATAATGTAAAGCTTTAATTATTAGTGTATCTAGTATATTAATATACTAATATATAGTATATTAATTAGAATAAATATGCAAGCATAATTCGAAAGAATGTCATAGTGAGTTTACAGGAATCTCTAGAAGTGAACCTTGTATGGTAATTCATTAGTATTTAAACTGTATAGTTAGTCTAATGATTAATTTTAGGTTTTTTATAGTAGGGGCTTAAGGAGGACATTCACACAAGAATAGGAAACACCAAGTCAGAGACATCTGCAGAACAAGCGCTTTTTCTGAATAGGTTCATGTTTTCAGTACATTTCCATTAAAGGTAGTAATGCATCAGCTCAGTTGTTTATATGGTACACACTGGAAACTTTGAAGTATTTAAATATAAAGATTTTTCAAGTGTCCTGATCATTTGCTGTGCCCCCTTTATCTCCAGGAGCTATTCTGGGTGTGCAAAGCATTTCAAGGCAGAGATGTACCATCAGGGGTCATTTCAGTAGTCAATACATATTATGTCAGCCAGTCTAAAAACTGAGTATGGCGTAAGTCAAGTTAAGACCTGTAAAACAAGTTGACAAAGAAGAATACTCACATCTTGACTCTGCAGTTTTTGAACAAAATCTTGAGTTGGTGTACCTGTTATTTTCATTATTTCTGTGAGTTGGTCCAGATCTGAATACCAGAAATAAGGAACAAAGTCTTTCACCATAAAACTAAACACCTTGCAAAAACTGAGTTTCTTTGCTATTGGAGAATACAGCAAAAATCATAATGCAAGGACTGAACAGAAGACTTATAAAAGATGAGATGAAAGTTCTCAGTTTTTCTTGCAAAAGGCAAAGACTCTGAAAGCACTTGAAATTAAATAACCTGTAACTTGGGAACGCATAATTGAATCATCTGCAAACTCCTCTAATATTATCAGGGCTCCTCTATATTTTTGGTCAAAATCAGTCCAAAAGTATTGGAGGATCTGAACAATCAATACATGCATTGCATGCATCGCCCTGGTCTATCCAATAGCTGGGTGATGTAGAGACAGGAAAAGTCACAAGGAACATCAGGTGGTATGATAAACAGAAGAAAAATCAGAGGAAACTAGTCGGTGTTAGTTCTTCTCCATATTGAGACTTCAAGGAAAAAAAAATTAATCCCTCTCCTCCTAATTTTCTACATGCTTAGCTCAATTCCAGATGCTGAGATGTTAGAGACATTGGGGTAAAGCAACAGAACACTCCCTAGTCCTCTGTGTCCTAAACCAGCACAGATTGAAACAGCTAATATTGTTGCTGATTAAAGAAGCAGCACCATATTCACAGGAGGCTAATGCTGCAGAGAACAGCTTTATGACTCGTTTGCTACTCTGGTAAGAGCAGCAGATGAGAAGGTAGAAGCAATATCAGTGATTGGCACATAAGGATTCTACTAACCTCTGCAGAAAAAGGCAATGGTGGGTAATGCTGATGAAATAAATAAATAAAATCCCATACCAAGTTTGCAGGATAACTTACTCATATTACTAAAACAAAAATCCCTAGCTGTTAGCTGTTTTCTTATTCACCTACCCACAACTGAACCCACGGTTGCATTTCCCTGACAATAGGTAATACTGATTCATATACTCAAAGGCCAGCAAGGACTGTTACGCTGCAGTAATTTCCTTCGTAATACAGGATGCAGAACTTCAGCCAATAGTTTGGAAATCTCCAAAACTCAGTATGACTAAAATACTAGCTTTTCCACCCTTACATTTACAGTGCAACTTGAAAATTATGACTCATTCATTTCCTTATTTATGTATCGGAATGCTCAAGGTACTTTGGCAGGCATTTTAGTATTTTCTTGTTAAGAACTAATGCGTGTACTTAAAATCTGTACAGCTGAAATAATTTGATGTATGCTACTCTTCCATAGTTCTCATCATTTTTTGGTGAATGCAATCTTCCTTTTTTATCTTTTTCCTCACAAAATGAGAACAATATGATCCATGTAATGTACATGTAAGTACTTAAATACAAATATAACTAAAATTAAATAATTGTGATTCTGTAAACAAGTACTTGCAGATAAACAATTTATTGACTGGAACTCCACAAAGGGAAAAGCAGTGCAAAATGATTAGGCTGAGCTGTCAAACATATGAAGCTGGGAAACAAAAAAAAAAGTAAAAACTTCTTGCTGCCTTCTGTTAACATTGTCCTCTATTAATTATCAAATCTACTACTGTCAATGAAGCTGAGGTTGAATTACAGCTTAATCTTCACTATTTTCTTAATTCCTCAGCAATTAAATGATAGGACTAGATGTTTTTTTGTAAATCTAAAACATTCTACTAGATGTCACTTACATAACATTTTTTAGTAAAAGTCTCAAAAAGCATGAAATGGACTAGAATGTGCACATAAGTCCATATACTGCAGCAGAATTTTCTGTGCATGTTCTGGAGTTGTGGAGTCTATTACTAAAAAAGTCAAAATATGCCTTTTCTATTGTCACAGAACCTTCTACCTGACGACTTGAGATGCGATTCGAAGATCACCTCTCTTTCTCTATTGAAAAAGTTCAGTAACACAAGCTTTAATTGCAGATGTGCAAAAGCGGTACAGATATCAAATAACCAATCAATGAGAAAGGTGCAAGCCATTCTACTATTCAGTTCAATTTACGCTCATCAGTTTTTGAACAGACCTACTGTATCACATAAGAACCTCTCATCATTTTCTTACATTAGTGTCATAAATTCACTGAAGGATACGATCGTTTCCTTTGAACAGAGGCCTCCCTGTGATCATCTCAGCCATTATACAGCCCACAGACCAGATGTCAACTGAAAAAAAGACCAGCAGTCACATTAAATTGCTGAACACTTAACCACTTAAATGTACATAAAGTTTAATTTTAAAATATGTTTTAAGACATGTAAAATTTACCTTTATAGCCTGCTAGAAAATAAATGTGTGCCTTACCAAGCATGATGAACAGTACAGGCAAAACTACCAGCATGTCTAATTAGCAAACTGGAGATAATCTGATAATGTGAGGAATCAGTTTCTCAGTAACAGGCAGATGCATGTGGGAAGTAAATTTTTCAACGTCTTCAAAAACTTCCATAGTTACCCTAGAATTACTTGAATCCCCTCCTTCTGCCATTTTCCCTGTCTGTTCGAGTTACAGCCAGCACGTCTTAGCAGGAAGATGACAGTCAGTGCAGAATGCAATAATGTAGACCAGACTGTCACATCTGTATACATTTGCATCACTTTTTTCCCAACCACTTTGGCACTTTCTGTTACTCAGAAAATACACAAAAAAGCCCCCAAACTCACAACCACCAAAGGATTACCTGCAATTTATTTACAAGGAAGTTTTGCATAATTATATTATTATTTCCACCTGCAATTTATCATTCACTTCAGAAGCAAAGACTTGCTTATATGTTGCCTAATTCAGTGAAGGCTTCAGCTCTGCCAGAGAAGAGATTTCTGACCTCATTTCTGAAGAGATGCTGACCTGTTTGCGTATAATGCATCCAGTTAAGTATGACCTCTGGGGCTCTGTACCACCTTGTAACTACGTAGCCGGTCATCTCACTGTCTGTATGCCTCGCCAATCCAAAATCCAGAATCTGTAGTGGAAGAGCAAAGAACATCCTCATCAAACAGCTAGTTATCTATTTTATATAGGCTTTACAAATGCGGAAAATAAAAGAATTGGAGCATTCTGCAGAGACTGGCTTATTTTTGCATCTTTTTTTCTCATTGAAGTGTCTTATTCTCATTTGAAAAAAATCAAGACACAAGTGGCAAGGAGCTTTACAATATTTTTTCGTGTGTTAGATACTCCTATAGCAACACTAAAAGCTGTAAAACCAGAAAAGAGAGAATAAATTCTTCAATTATTAATTTAAAAGATATGGGTCCTATTCAATGAAAAAGTTCCCTGGCCATGGAATGACTATCATAGCTTGTTAGGGATAAGAGAACACCACCCATCTTAGATGGTATTCATTGCTCTCCTATCCCAGGTGGCACAATTATTCAAGAGTGTGTTTGAATAACATTCTGAAGTAAGGAGGAATTATTCTCTTTGTTTTATGAGTTTTCATCCACAGGAAGGCTTCCTCTGAAAACATACAACAAGAGTAGGGAATTACTATTACTTAGTCCCACTGAGTTTTCCCCAACCTACCACATCAGTTACAAACAACCCTCTGTAAGAAACCCAAGGTCTGTGCAATTTTTTTAAAGGATTATGCACAATTCAGCTTATTTCTATGACTCCCCGGTATTTATCTCAAGATAGAGCAATGTGTACAGCAGCAATATTAAAAATGGATGCTACAGCCTTTCATCAACTTCTACAAAATTGGCTGATGTAAAGGCCCACCTGTACAAACCTTCAAAAGATGGTGCCAAAAGATGCAGCCAACAGCCAATCGTGCTTGTAACAAGAAGCAGGGGCCTTGGGTAAGTAAACTCTACTCAAGATAAATCATCATCACCCACAGATACTTGAATGCGTAGCTTTGCATGAACAGCCGCTAGTTTCCATGTATATCAGGCATCATATATACTGACAGGGCAGACATTTTTACTAGAAGCACCCGTGCATTAGTATACCAAGAGTGATATGTTTGTAATGCTGTCTGTAATTAAACATCTTAAAATATTTCAGGATAGTTTCATCATTCCCTGGAACTAGCAGAAAGGAAAATTATATTTTCATTCATAGATCAAGAGTATAAAATGTTATGGCTTATCTTTATTGCCATACTTGAAACATCATTTCCATATCTTCCCCATAACTGCTGATTACCTACCAATTAAAAACCAGGAATAGGATGCCAAGGGAGAGACTTTTATTCTTACCAATAAAATACAATTGATTCAGCTGAAGTTACCCCTCAGAACTTTGGGTACTGAAGATTTACTGGAATCAAAATATTTGCAGTAACAAAATACATGTTTATATACAGCTTTCAAATTTACTCTACACATACAACACACATTATGTCTTCCCAGTAACACGGGAGGGGAGGGTGGAAGAAAAAAGTAAGTTTTACGTAATAGGTCAGAAGCCACATGTGGTACCATCTATTCTGTCACAGCTTTTTAGGCCTTTTCCATACTAAGGCTTGTGACACTTGGAGTTAGAGACAGCTAAAATACAATTTGGGTTTGTATTTTCATAAAAGCAGAAAACGACAGTGAGAATTTTTGTGCATTAACTTTGGGATTTCTTTTCATTTACATATTCATTAGGCTCAAGAACAAGTGTATCCTGTTAGTACTCAATATTAACACAGTACAACTTCAACAACAATCTTCACATGAAACTATTATTCTCATACTCCGAGCTTCAACTTTTCAGCTGGAAGTTCCAAAGCAATTTTCAGAGCAAGTTGGCAAATCCTTTTTATAATGCAGGAATTATGAAAGAGAGAGCTCTTTCCCCCAGCTCCTCAAGGACAAGCGCCCCTTCTACTCAGCAAACTTAATTTTCCTACCTTGCTTCAATAACCGTAACAAAAATAACTTGTAACTTCAAGACTGCAGAATGGGCAGTGATTTCCCCTAAGGCACCCTTCGCTACCACATTTCTGTTTCCGATGTAGCAGCTGGGAAAATCAGACAAGGGAGCCAGAAAGCTCATTGTGAAAAATAAAACTGGTTGCTTATTAATTATTACCAATTCAAGGAACTGTTCCAACTTGCCCACAGCCTCATCGCTGCCGGAGCTGATGCAAAGGAAGCTGCTGAGTGCACAGACATGGGGGAAAAGGGTCAGACTACCGCTGGCAGCGTGGTCCTGTGCTTTGCAAGCACGCTCTCAGAGCAGGGTCACATCCTGTCCACTGCACCCGAAGGCACATGGGGGAAGGCAGTTCAACGCCTTCACCGTCAGAGAGATCCCAGTTCAGTCCTCGCCGTGATATTTTTTAAGCACACTTCTCAACATATTATGGTTTCCTTTCTGTTCATAGACCAGAGCTGCCTTTTGACAATCAGTATTTCCTAATTGCAAATTTGCACTTTCCTTCTGCATGTGATATCAGAGCTTATCGTACAACTAGGGACAGCATAATTTCACTCAGAGAGTCAGGAAACAAAAACTAAAGCTTAACGCTACATTTTCTCGTCATGTCACAGAATTGTGGTCTGATACAGAATTATTTGTCTCAGTTTATCTAAAAGCTTAAAAATGTCCAAGGTAACAGAAAAACAAGTCCTGTTAAATAAGGAGATACAGTGATCTTATAACAGAAGAATGTCTTAGACCTGGGCTGCATCTCAAAATGTAACTGCACAGCTGGGGGAGGGAAAAGAAACATGTAAACTGTTTTTTTCTAGATTCTCTTCCCCC